CCCTAACATGGGAGGTCGGCACGAGCAATAGGGTCGCAGACACGGTTGTGTCTGCAAGATGTTATAGTGCTTCCACAGTAGTAGAGATCTGTTAGCTATAATAACTGTCGCTCGCCCATAAACCTTCAGCATCTTTTGTTACGGAACCGTAAATAAATATCGCAAGCTACTGTAATACCAGCATCAACTTTGCTCCAATCGCTTCTTTTGTGAGTGAATGTCAACGTCTACTCCAAATGACATTTAATCGTTCTGATAACAATTCTGCTAACTGTAGAAAATAAATAACTTTGCATCGTGGGGTTGCGATCATGCCCGATCTCGTCGACCTCAAGCGTTATGAATCATCCTGTGTGACCGTTCGCGGCAAACTGAATGGCCTAAAATACCGTTGTGATTATTTCGCAGCGAGTGCGGATTGTCTCATTTGAAGCAAAGTTGGTTCACTTCCCTCGAAGAATGGTCCGCAAGTAGCGATGGTAAAAGGCCTGCAGTTCCTATTTATCTTTTACACCCGGCATAAGAAGTATAACCCGAACGCATGTGCGTTACATGCAATCCTTCGTGATGATAGATATATCGCGTCGGGCCCAGAGGAACTTTCTTAGGCTTGAGAAGATTGACGAGCTGCATCAATACCTTGTCCATTGAATAGAAGCCGAGCCCAGAGGTATTTGAAACATTCTATTTCCTAAGTTGAGGGTAATCAATCTCGAAAGGCCTCTTCCCCTGCTCAGGGATGCAGCTTGCAATCACTTCGGTCTTCCCAGCGTTTACAGACAAACCGATCAATTCGGCGCCCTTATTCGTCTCCATGCTACCCATAGATTGTGGAACATCAAAGCTTGAAGCTAGTGGGGCGATCTTATCGGTATAGACGAGACCGTTGAGAGTGCCTCCGAGTACAAACTCACCATCGTCATCATCATGTTGGGTCTTTCCAAGAATCAATTCAATGACTTAGTTGAACGTTCCGAACACCAGAACATATACACGAGGTTGGCAAGCACTGTTATGGACCAGAACTCGTGCAGTGCTGGAGCAATAAAATGTATTGATTATGGGAATGTTTTTGGTTGTACACCCCCGGGTACCATAACTTCACGCTATGGGGAGGCTACAAAGTAGACGGCCGTCATTTTTGCTAAGTATGGTGGATTTCATGAATGCGAGTGATTGTAAATATCTAGTCCGCATACCGACGTCCAGCACGGAATCCAGTTGTCTAAACCGCAGTCGTGAGGAAAAACCTCGCCACTTTGCGCACTTGCAGTCCCCTTATACAGCCGGGGCGCCGAAGTGTCGACGCATGGCTTCTAGATATCACCGTTTATATAGTCTCCTGCACGTGCCTTGTTGACGCCCATCGTCTATACAGCAAAGACAGAATTTCCATCTGAAAGGGGCTCGCATTATATTGCATAGGGTAAAGAAGGTTAAACTACGCTGAAAATAAGAATGACGGGGGGCTGTGTTTAGTATCGTAGTTTAGAAGCTGCTCGCCGTGGTCTCGCCAGCGCTCGGCGTGGGCCAATCTGTCAGCAATAAAATCGCCATTCAAATGGCAAGCAGGGCCCCATTTTCTACAGGGCTTACAACCTTGTCAGATTGGTTCGTTGATTTTTCGAACGTCGTAAACGTTTGAGGTATTTTCATGAAGGTCAGTAATGCAGTGAAGGGTATCTTCCGTTCATTTCTAGCCGAATCTGACGTCATCCTTCGGAGTGGGATCCGGCTTGATCCACCTGAGCAGACAACTGCAGGATTTCTCCGATAACCCAGTCACTTTGGCGTCTTTGGATTAATTCAATAAATTACCTTGCTGCCCCAGAGACTGATGACTTTAGTGGTGCACACTTGCTACTGCCCTCTCTTTCGGCCCAAACCATAGTACAATACCGGTGTTCTGTGCTCGATAGTTCAAGGTTGCCTGAGTTTGGCGAAATTGGGCGTATGGAAGTTTGGGCGTGGATGAAAACTTCACTTTTAAGCGTAGACGAACAATAAAATGACCCACTCCATGGGTATTACCGGTGTTCGCATCATACAGCGATCAGCTATCTTGAACCCAACTGCGGAAACATAAACGGACTAGCATGTAGTTGATCTGACTGATAGTAGGACCGCACTTTCCAAGCCAGACCACTTGAGATTGATTTTGGTGATCGAAGCACGTTTTTTTGTACTTACTTACTTGTACTTGATATGGCTGTGATCATTTTAGATCTAGGTGGCCTCAAGGGCGTCTATTTGTAAAGATCAGTGACAACGGATCTGGAAAGCTCAAGTTATTATATTCTCCAGCGACGAAGACAGCAAACCGAAGTTCCAAAACCACTTACATATCTTAGGAGCTATGTTTATGCAGACCTTAAGTAGCCCTACTCTTCACCGCCTCCACCTGGGATAAGGTTCCTCATCAACGAAAGCATAGTAAAGCAAGTAAGGTGAACGTGCCCAGAGCACCCCAGGCGCCGTTTTCTAACGGTTTGAGATCTCCACGTGATTATTTCGGAACGAGTTCGGTGTACTCCTTTCAATAGACGGAGCTAAGGCAGCAGTAGTCAACGCTCGACAGTAATTGCTCATGTTCCACGTGCAAAGCCCAGCATTCCCAACCATAGAATAGTAATAGCCGTATGGATGCACGGCAGTCAGAGATCTTTGTGACGATGGAGATGTGGCTACGGTATCATAGGCGCGTTCTGAATATTTAGAAAAAACGCCGAGCAACATCGATTCAGAAGACAATATCGCCTTTACCCATTTTATTTGGTGGCAGTTTTGCCCCAGGTTTTTAAAGCTGTGATCGTCCCAATGTTTCCAGCTATTAAGCCCCAACAATTCAACTTGAGAACAGTTTGGAGTTCCTAATTTAGGCCGACTGAAGTAGCAATCTCATTCATCCGTGAGACTTCAGAATGCAGAACACCAAAGCTTGAGGCTATCAGAGCAATATCGTCCGCGTAGTCAAAGTCAGCTAACTGGTGTCCAAATATAAATTATAAACAGGAAAAGCTTGTATGACACTTCCGAGTATCTAGTCAATGGTGTAGTCGAGCGGAATAGGGGAAAGGATGAAGGCGTGTTGTACATTAGACTGGATATCGGACGATTGGTAGAGATTGTTATGAGCCAGAACTCGTGCAGTGGCGGAGCGATAGTTGACCATGATCGTGGCAATGATTTTCGCCGACACACCATCTAGATCCCATATTCGCCACAAGGAGTCACGATAGATGGAGTCAAACGCAGCAAAGAAGTCGAAAAATCCGACGGCCGTCGATTGCTGGTGGCCATGGCAGAATTCCAGAATGCCCCTCAGTGTGCATATGCGGCCAACGCCTTCACGCACAGTGCGGAATCTGACTTGCTTGGGCCACATCTTAGAGTCTCATACAGACTGGGATCGTCTGAGAAGAGCAAAATTGGTGACCTTTGCAGCAACATGTGTTCGCGACATAAAATCGGTTCTGCTTAGCCAATAGCAGCATGCTCTCACCATTTTCACCAAGAACAAAGCCCAAAAGTGTCAATCAGATGACTGGTTACAGAGTCACAACACCTATTCCCGGAAAAAAAATCAAAAAATTGCAACGATTCAGTCTTCTGAGCAACATTTGCAGCTACCATTAAAATGCCTCTGTATTCTGCGGTTGGGCCGCGGAAGTTGATGAGTACGCAGAAACTATACAGATTTTAAGTGACCCCTCAGACGCAGTTAGATAATTCATTCATTCACTTGTTCACAGGAACACAGGTTTACTTGTTAGGAGACGACTGCCGCAATATGTCGGCCAGAATAATCACAAAGACCACTGTGGTACAGAGTGACGTGTGAGTCGGCTCTCGTTATCAACTGTTGAATACAAGGGTCCAGGAAAATTCGCACACTCCAGCAACTAGTATCAAAATTCAGTTTTAGGCTTTACTAGTCAAGTTAACATGCTCGAATACTTATTATCTGGTTCTTTAGCTCAAGGTTGAG